TGCTTCAGTTTTTGGCAATCCTCATTTTAGCTTGATGAGCTTGATAGTCTACAATACGTTTAAAATGCGTGCTCAGCTCAGAAAACTCTTTATGTTCAGGAACAAAGATCTTGGGTGTTTTAGTCTTTTGGTTTGGGATTGAAACGTGGCGCTGTGCGGTTACATTGGTTTTAGTGTCTGATAAACTTTCAAGCTCATTGATTTATTTCTAGAACTGAACTTCCTGCATCATATTTCACCTTCTCACCTTCACCTGTAGCAATGCGACCACACCAGTACAGCCATCTGAATTTTAAGTTTAAGTTCTTGAGATTTTTAGATTTAGGTTTCATCTTTCGGTTTAGGGTAAAAAGTATTGTATTCTTGTGGGTTTGTGCTTACCTTAACCCTTCCTTTTAAAGATGTTTAGATGCTTGAAAAATCTTTCTAACCGGGGTGAAACCTCTGTCTTTTTTTTTGTTTAAACGTCTCACATTTGTCTGTCTGAAGCAGAGATCGGTGATCATGTGGCGACGTTGCTTTCTCAATAATAAACCTTGAGCATGTTTGTGCTCATACGTGTTCTCCTGCTCACTGAGGGACAACCAGACGTAAAAATAGAAACAAACGAGAGAAATGAAAGCAAATTAATGATGGAGATTATTCTGGAGTGCGCCAGGAGTCCTGATGCTTCACTTTGAAGGTCTCTTCTGTGCTGTTATAGTCTTTCTTTCCTCTCCTGGTTCTGCAGCTCAGTGTTGGCACAGAGGAAGGGAGAGATGGAGGGATGGAGGAGTGTTTTCAGTCCCGTGAGGCTCGCTCTCATTTCTAAGTTTTTCCTCCCTGAGCGATGGAGGAAGATCATCTCCATCCATCTGCTTTCCTCCGGTCCTCGTTTATTGATTCTTCATTTTCTAGAATGAACACAGGGTTGGTGTTGACTAAAGTGAACCCCCTTTTTATAGCTTCAAATAACTTGTTCAGATCGATGGCTCTCTAACAGAGTCCAGATGAAACATAATTGAGTTGGGCATCGAAAACACTGATTGTTTTCTGCTGTCAGCTGACTAATGTGACACTTTCATCACTCCGTCTTCCTGCCGTTCCTCCTCTTCCTCTCTTCCACAAACTCCCATAAATGCAGTTATGAAGAGCTCTGTGTGTGTGTGTGTGTGTGTGTGTGTGTGTGTGTGTGTGTGTGTGTGTGTGTGTGTGTGTGTGTGTGTGTGTGTGTGTGTGTGTGTGTGTGTGTGTGTGTGTGTGTGTGTGTGTGTGTTTGCCAGTTGATGGATTGATTGAGTTCAGGTGTGCCGCCCACATGTTCCCAGATGTGTTTTTTCTCACCCAGAAGCCTCTCTGAAACCCATCTGGACTTTCCCTCCACTTGCTTACTCAACACAATTTTGTCCAATCAGCATTTCTTTTTTATTTCTCTGCTGCCTGTCTGGTGTTTTCCTCAGCCGCAGGAAACCAAATACTGTTACACAGCGTTACAGGCAGTTATTACTCAGGTGTAAAGTTTGGTAATTCAGCTGTATCTTGTAAAAAATGTCCACCTTCCCTTAAATCCCTCAATTTAAAAACAAAAACAACCACTCAAAATAATATAACAAACAACCAACAAACAGTTAAAAAAACAGCAAACTACGTAGATAACGAAGCAAAACCGAACAAAAGAGTTACAACCTTGGACTAGACACAATTCAAAACATTTTGAAATAAGCAAAAATATGACAAAAAACTGATATTTACAGGTAACGTATCCAATCAGAAGCAGCCTGAAACATAAAAGCTTTTTACCAACTTCCTCCAATAGAAAGAGGATCTGATCTGAGCTTCTTTTTTTTGGACAATAAGGACAGTAAATGTGTGCACACTTACAAAGATCATCCTGTTGTTGTTATTCAGTTGTTTGACTGATTAATGGATTAATCATTTCATCCCTAGACTTTTTTAAAAAAATGTGAATTTAAGGAATATCTTCCCAGCCGAGGCGGTCAGCCTGGACACTGCAGTTAGTAGCTGACAGCTTAAACAGAAGTCACACTTATGGGATATATTATTGGTGTTTGCTGAGTGAAGAAGATCCTCTTTTTGACATTTTGACTATTTAATAAAAGTGTATTAATGGTTCAGCTATCAGCTGAGGCAGCCCACCTCAGCTATTAACCCATTGTCCTCCATTAGGTATCGATACTGAAACTGAGCATCCATTTTTGCCGTTTAAACTCCGCAGCCAGTTGAATCGGCTCATTGTGACCACCCTGATGGTGGGTCACCTGGCGGAGCGGCTAATCGCGGCCCCACCATTGATTTCCATCCCTGTCAGTCCCAGGGCTGTACTGGAACCCAGCATAGGGGAACTGGAGGGCCCCCGAAAACAGGAAGCAGCTGGATCAACATCCTGCCTGGCAAAGAGGGAGGCGTCGCACCAACACAGGCCGGCGTTTGTAAAAACCTCAACAATGCCCCCCTCTGTGTGTCTGCCGACCAATAGGGACGCTTCTATCTGGATTCTTTCCAGACAGATACCAACACCACACACACACACACACACACACACACACACACAGTGGCACTAATAATAGTGGAGACCAACAGCGGGTGAACTTTTACTATGAAAGGATGAGCTGTTACTTCCTGATTCAGACTGTATCCTGGCAACATCTGGAGGAAAACACAACATCTGTTTGTTTGTTGGTGTTTTGAGCTGTGGGAGGCAACAGTAGTAGTGATACCGTGAAAATTACCTTTTAAGAATGATTCAGTATGGCAGTAGCACTCAACGTGTAAATATAAATTTTGCTCAGAACTTGTGAAACCAAACAGAAACGGGTCTGATTCTGAACCAGATTCTGCTTAAAATTAAACTTTTCAACCAGTTTTCCAGTCATGGAAACACTCAGATCACCTACATATTTGAAACTCAACTTAATTTTCTGTAAAATTAAATGAATTCTACTCAATTTGAACTGTTTACGGGCTGTAGCTGAATGTTACAGTCAAAGGTAAATCATAGCGGAACCGTAACCACTGACCACCGACCTGGACTGAACCTGAGACACTTTATCATGAACTCTGCATCATTAAACGAGCAGGAATAAAACTAAACTCAATTAAATGTGTCAATATTAGGCCCACCAGGAAATGATATGACCGTTTGTGAGCTTTAAGTGCTGTCCTTTATTGTGAAGAAAGAGTGGGGGACCTGGTTTTATAAATGTGTGTTTTTAAGTGAAAAGTAAAGAAAATAAATGTTTTAGTTCACATTTAAAGCAGAAAACTAATTTGTCTGGAACCCAATTGGATTTTGAAAGATGCACTCCAATCAGTAAAGTGATGTGACTTTACAAGAACCTTTTTCTAATATAAACTTAACGCTTGTAAGTCCTGGAAAAATCTTAAAGGCATTAAAAGTTCTTAAATATGAAGAAATATAGCCTTTTGAGTCTTGAATATTGTTTAAAATGTGACCTCCTTCACTATAAGATGTCAGAAAGTGATCAGATTTGTAGATCCGGGACCGCACTGGTAGTCCTGTGGATGCACAGACAACATCAAGGCTCTCTCTCTCTGGTAAAGAGACATTGCGAGCGTACAGGCCGACACAGATTGCTGCTTATGAATTAGTAAAAAAGGGACTGAAGGCTCTAAGTGGACCTGGCCCACTGGCCTACTTAGCACAGAGGCCTGAGGTGTCACAGAGACCAGCGGGGTTAATGGTGTCTGTGTATTGATGCGTCACTGTAAAGGCAGACCAGTGTCGTTTTGTAAGTGGTTCTTACGGTTCCTTCAGGAGGTTGTGGTGGATATTAAAGAAGTTGTTGAGATCTTCAGGGAGGGTATTGTGGTCTTTCTAGGGGCATTTTAGGTGGTTTTTAGTTGTCATTGAGGCTTTAATTTCACAGACTAGACCAGACTACAGTTGGAAAACAGCAGAAATCTACTCAGAAGTGGCTTAAAGCTGTCTTCCACTGAAACTGTAAAAAACTCAGTTTATAATTAGACAAATGAACGTTTCAGTGTGGTTCTAAACTACGTTAACGTCCTGAGTGTGTGTGTTGAGTAAAGAGTGGTGAAGGATGAGAGCTCCCTGATAACACTGACACTATCGCGCTGCAACAACACACACTTAGATATCTGAACAAAAAGCACACACTAACAGTGAATGAGTGTGGGAGGAACATCAATTTGCCTCCACCGCCACCCCTCATTTCCCATGACCTCTCAACCTTGCTGCCTCTGCTCTGGGTCTTAAAACCCAAAACACACACAGTGAAGGTCTCCGCATGCTCAAACAACAAGTTCAGTAAGTGTTTCTATCTGTTCTGAGTGCGGACGAGAGAGGACGAGATCCCTGAGGATCGTTTAAATGTGGGGATTTTGTCTGTTTGTTCTGGGAAACCTGAAGCTCTGAAACCTCATGTTCAGACCTCGAATCATTCATCATAAGATTTCAGATTGTTCATTGTCAGAACTCAGAGGATCAGATGTATCTGAGAACTTACTGAAGCTCTGAGGACAGATATCCGACTCTCTGCTATCTTGTCTCCCTCAGTGTCGTCTCTCTGTGCCTGTACGGGTCCTGTTATCCTGTTCAGTCTGCCGTGACCCTCAGTCTGCTGTCAGTCATCTGTCAGCTCTAATAAGACTCTTCCTCCTCCTCCTCCTCAGCTCTCCACTCAGTAGGAACAGATTGGTTCCCTCGTTACGCCGTCCGCTCAAGTGCAGCTCGCCGTGCCCTCAGACACAAACTCGCGAGGTCGTTGTGTCGACACGGCAGGTCAAGAACGCGGCGTGCTTGACGTACAAAGCCACACCAACATCGTTGCTAAGTAACGGACAATCAAAGCGGATGCTGACGAGTTGACAACAACAAACAGATCGCTTTGACATTTTAAGGAAGTAGTTCATTCGGAACATTTGTGAGATCTCTCGTTAACTCGATCGCACCTGAAGGCACCACGTGTTTGTTGCATTTGATTGACAGGTTGTGTTGTTGTTGTTTCTGTGTCTTACAGATGCGTTTGTGAACAGTCAGGAGTGGACACTGAGTCGAACGGTACCAGAACTGAAAGTGGTGAGTTCAGATCTCTTCTTATTGAGCGTTGAGTGGTCGTGTGTTTACTGTACTGAATAATAGGAGATCATTTTTATCACTATTATTATCATTTCTTTATATTTCTGTTTCACACTCTCACATCCATTTCTTACTCCAACACTGACTGGTCCCTGTCTCCCAGGGCATTGTGGGTAACCTGGCCAGTGGTAAGTCAGCGCTGGTGCACAGGTACCTGACAGGAACATACGTCCAGGAAGAGTCACCTGAAGGTAAGAAAATCCTTCTTCCTGTCTGTCTTTCTCTCCGTCTGTCTCTCTGAGATCTGGCTGGATCTGTTTCACTGATTTCAACGAACTCATCCACCAACGAGCCCCTCCTCTCTCCAAGATCACATCCACCAAATAAAAACAAAAAGCAAAGTAGATTAAATCAATTTATAATAAACAGCGGGCGGATTAAAAACCCCAGCAGGCACGAATGAAACGTTGACACGGAGCGCACAGTCCCAGCTGTGTGTCTCTAGAAGCTCCTTCTGCACTCGAAGGGAAACAAAAGCACAGATTTGACCAGCAGAGCAGAAATAAAGGGAGTCACGCAGCTCTGCAGCTCGTATTTTAGGGCGCTTCTACACCAGTTTCTTCACTTCTAAAGATTCAAATGTGAACTGCTTTCACTCACGCAGCCACACAGGCTCCAGTCTCTACTGGTAAAGGGAGGAAACCAGTTTAATTCAGAAATTAATGTTAGAAATTAGATGAGATAGAAACATTTCTCTTTATTTCTTTTAGACTTTTCTTAAATTTCTTCTTTGAAAATCTGTGTAATCTCCTAAAGCCCAAACTCCTGTCTTCCTCAAAGAGTTTGTTTTGATCAAAGTCAAAAATAATCCACATTATCAAAGAGAAAGTGAAGATTTCATCCCTCACTTTCCTGCAGTTAGCAGATCATTCTGGTTTTATTACACTCTGGGTTTTTGTAGCTTAATACATCATTTTTATGAGGAACAATAACATTGCACCAAGTTAAAGGCTGAGATCTGATAACACGGTGACACCACTAAAAAATGTAAAACCCAAGTTGTAATAAACTGGAATTATCCTTAAGAATAACTTAATATTCGGTCCAGAATAACCGAGCCGACCGACACAGTAGCGTATATGAAACTTTAATGACGGTTACTCTTCGTGCGCTTTCTCTCCAGAGCGCCTGAATGTTTCATATCGTCCTCCATGAACAAATAAAAAGCTAACTGTGGTTTCCTTCAGTGTCTCTGCTCGCACGCCCCGCGGAGACGGCCATATTCCTCATCCAATATTAAAGCTGCTCCGCTGCCAGCTCCCCCGCGTGCTCTACAGTACGGCAGCCTCCCCAGGCAAAGACCCACTTCTGCTAAAGCCCCATGTTCCTTTAATATTTCACTACCGGAGCTTATTTTAGTCTCTGGAGGCTGAAGAGAGTAGAAACTGGTCGAGGTTTAGCTGTTGTCTTTTCCTTCTCCCTCTCCGGTCAGAGATCACCTCTGTGTCCACATACAAGTCGAGATCTGGTGATGTGGTCGGGAAGCCCAGCATCAAGACATTTTATTGGGACAGGGTTATCAGTAGTTTGACCTCTTGCCTTCAGGCGGCCACCAACAAAGATACTTTATAATGTCAGCTGCCGGTTTACTCGTGTTAAAGATGATTTAGAGATATAAAGTTAAAGATGGGCCATGAAGAAAGGGGATGCAAATATTGAGGAATTTCCTTAATTGATTATTGGACGTGTCTATAGTCAGTTATTAAAGAAGGCCATGCTATACAAACTGTAGGTTAATAACTTCCTGCACCGAGGTTTCACATTAAAAGCCTCAGATGACAGAATTCTTTGCAGTACTTTACAGCAAGTGATAGTGTTTTAAAAGAGGAACTCAGACATTATAGTGAATGTGAGCTAGTAGTATAGAGGTAATTACACCCTCCTCAATGTTTTTAACAGCTTTTCTTTTTAGACTCAGCTATTATTGTAGATTCTGTGGTACCCTTCCAGGAACCGAAAAACCATCCAGATCACACGAGTCCAGAAAATACCTAACTACCATACCGCTGTGGAGCTGCAGCTAATTAACCCCTCTTGACCTTTTTGTATGTTTAAAGCCTTGAAAACCATCAAATGCAGTTTATTTGAGATGCAGGCTTTGCTGCCTTTGTCATGTGGGGACCCACCCGGAATCGGCCCACAAACCAATTTTAGCTCCTGGTCCCTCGGTGGAGGAACGAAGCCTCCGATGTTCAGACGCAGGAAAAGAGAGGAGTGCACTGAGAGTTCAGTCAGCCAAAAGAACAGTTAGATTATTTCATTAATACGTCACTCGAGGGGTTTATCGCAGATTAACCGATAAAAAGGGACTCCAAGGGATCAGCAAAAAGCTGCTCAGAAACTACAGGCGCAGTTGTAGCACGAGGGAAAAAAACCAAATGTTGGTGGTGTCGGGGAATCCCCAGAGCGGATTATTTCCGAGGTGTGCACAAAGAAAAATGAGAAAATCTTCTTCAGCAGTGACGTACCTCTTCTTAAAATGCCCTGTGTGGCTGTTGGGCTCCAGCCTCCAGTGTCAGACCGCTAAATGCCCAATGGTCTGTTTCCACCGCTCGGCCCTTAATTACACCGCGGCTCTGCCAAAAGCAACACGACACGGCTTTTCAAGCAGCTTCGCATACCGTATCCGAGCCAGCCCTAAACAACAGCTCCCCCAAATCTTTGATCTAATGACTTGGCACCGTCGCCCATCAAGGAAGCAGCGATCCAGCTCGGACTTAAACAACAACAACTGCTTTGATATCGTTGCATAACCACTGAGAAATAAATGGAGCTTCAGGAGGAGAAGAGGACGGGAAAGCTGATGTGTTGTTTTTAAATTCCTGGGATCTAAAAATAAGCTGCAGCCCGTATTCCCATGGTGATTGATTGGGAGCGGAGCTGGTGGCTTGCGAGCGGCAGGGCAACCGCAGCGCCACAAAGCCACTAACCAGAACTATTCTTAGGCTGCAGACTGGAGCCTCGGCTTCAGACGGCTCACATCGGCTCCCGTTAATGAGGGGAGACCGTTTCCTTCGTCCGTCCACTTCGAGCTAGTGCCCCAAACTTTAAACCTGCAGCTTCTTCAGGTTGGAGCATCTCTCTGAACATGTAGAGTTTTTTTTTTATCCAAACTCTGCCGTTCAAAACTGTGCTGCATTCAAGGACACTCCAGAAGAAACCAATAAGCATTAGCAATTAAAGCTGCTGCTTCCTCTTCCAATCAAGGCTTATACTTACAATTATTGTCATTATCAATTAATATACTGATTGTTTTCTTGATTAATTGTTGATTTAATTTCCTCTAGGCAAGGTAGTTTTAGATTCAATGCTACACAGTGTAGTTAAAGTTAAAAAGAACGTCATAAGAGAGAGAGAGATCTGTATAAAGGATTAAAAAATGAATCCTTCAAAAGAATAAGACGTTTTAGTGGCATTGATATAAAAGCGTTTGAGAATACTCCTGATATTTGTCGCTGTGGTTGCAATTAACACTTTTACCTTCTAGAAACTGTATTTCCTGTAAAAAAAACAATAAATTCTTCTTGATTTGAACTGTTGTTTACAGGCTGTGTAAATTACATGAGCGTTCGTGAGAAGATACTGTCCTGTACTGTTGAGAAGGGAAAATTTTTTCTTAAAAATAGTGGGAACCCTGTTTTCTGACCATCAGTCTACAACCTAAAGATATTCAGTTAACTGTCACTTAAGACAAAGAAAAACAGAAAATCTTAATAATTCACAAGTTGGAAGTAGGAAACATTTTCGCTTAAACGATCAAAAGTTGCTACTATTACTATCTACTTAAAATATCAGACGTCAGAGTGTCCTTAAACGCACCATCAGCAGGAGTTGATGACAGTAAATAAGGATGTAAAGTTCAGTAAATGTGCTCAGTGATGGATCGTGGATCTCAAACTGAAACCACCGGCTGCTCTGAAAGTATCAATCAGTCTGAAAACCTGTGATCTGCTCTGATCCATCTTCAGGAATGTAAACCACCAACAGCAACCATGTGCCGGTTTGTTGGATTGTTGTTGGTAGTTGAGGGGGGTTGCCTAATTTGAAAATGCCCTCGAAAAACCCCAAAAGTTCAACTTGAGCCGAGTGTTGGATCAGCAGATGGAATCCATTAAAACAGAAAAGGAGCTTTTGGTTGGGAAATCACCCGCAGACACCGAACTGATGCTGCTCGCACACGTAGCCCGACGGCGTTCAGAGATTCTGCTCTGCTCTATTACTCCACTTATTTATCTGACAGACATCTGCAATCAACATCTCAGTTCTCCAGGCTGAACGTACTGCAGGTGAATGTTGGCGTCCAATAGGAAGCAGTGTCACAGTGAGAAACTGTAGAACTGTAGAAGATTTCAGCTCATTAAATGAGCTGAAATCAATCAAATGTCCTCAACTGTTACATATGCAAGCTTTACAGCTTATTAAAAATAGTTTGGATAGTTCAAATATCTTCATTTGGGGGCTTTTCCAAGCAGCTATTGATAATGTGTTTGTGATTAAATCATCTGTGTTTCTGCCCCCCCCCTGGATACCACAAGAATATCTCTCTAGATCCGGCCCTACAGGGACTATTTGATTGGTGTCTGTGAGGACTGTTTCCTGCTTGAGGAGCTGATTAACTGAACGTACCAACATACAATCTCATTTAACTAAAACATCAGTGAAACAAAACTTCAGGTTCAGCCACGATCTCTTCACTTTCTTCTTCTGCAGGAGTTTTTCTGATGTTTTTTGACCTCCAGCTGAAATAAAACTCTTTTCTTTCTCTCTTGCCTCTGTTTTGCCCTGATGAGCGCTCGCTCGCTCTCTCTCTCTCTCTCTCTCTCTCTCTCTCTCTCTCCCTCTCTCCCTCTCTCTCTCTCTCTCTCTCTCTCTCTGGGTGCTGGGTTTGACTGTGCATGTATTAACTGGCTGCATCTTTGATGGGTTGTTGTTTTTTTTGCTTTCTGTTTCCTCTCTTTCTTCTTTCTGGGCTGCTCTTGTAAACTAGCTGACGTGGATGCAGGTAACTATCCTCTCTCTCTTCTTCTACCTCGCTCTCTTTTCATCCACCCCCCCATCCATCCATCCGTCTGTTGATTCTGACAGCGCCTCGTTGAGAACAGCTTGGGTTCAGCGTGTCCACTCAGTGCCATGAACTGTTAGTGATGCTCGTCATTGGTCATTCGTTTATTAGCAGAAACGGGATAGACACATTATCTATAATGAATCATAAGTTTTCCTCCAAAAGAGTCGTGTAAAGACTGCCTGTTGGGTTTGGGTCCAAGAGGCTTTGGTCGTGATACACATTGCTACAGATTTTCATACGTGTCGGTGAAACGTGCCTCGGGGTCTGAGCCATCTTGCGACACGCCCATATAATGTGTACATTTCCCCCACCGCCACATCTTGTGCCACATTTCAGGAGATTTTGATCTGGGGGGATAATTGATAATTAAGGAATATTCATTTGTGTTGAATTGGGGGTTTTTCTCTTAAGGAAATCTGTATTTGACCTAAAATTTATACCAAATTAAACAACACTTCCTGGATTATAATTATATAATATTATGCATTATTCCTGGAATAATTTGATTTAAATCTTTTAAAGTACATTTAAATTACGTATAAAAACAGTCAGCTGGCAGAAAGTGCAGGTTGAAAATAAATGTATTCGTATGGCGTTGGAGTCAACATGGCCGCCTAAAGGTCGGTTTGGACCGCTGAACCCGAAGCTGAGACTGAACCCGTAGCTCCGCCCCCCCCACCCCCCCAAAACAATCTTAGTTTGGTTAAAATGATTTTAACTCATCGTAACTTCACCCTCCTCATGTTCTTCAGCTGTGTGCATGTAAACACACACACTCTCTCACACACACACACACACACTCTCTGCCGACTCAGCATTATCGGCGCCATCTGCTTTCCACTGTCAGTCCTCACAACATGGCGTCTGCACACAGGAAGCGCTCTAAAATTACACTTCACACGCTTCCTTCAGCACGTGTTGATCACGTAATGAGACAGCAAGTTAAACACAGATTTATTGGTGAGGATGCCTTTTTAATAACACGGTGTTAGTGCTTTACAACTAAATAATAATAGATAAAGCTTTAATTAATGACCAATAAATAAGGAACACTAAATAATTTAACATTTACATTGCTCACTGAGAAAATAAACAATGAATAAAAGTCAAATAACCAGAAACAGACACAGAAAGTGCATCAGTAAACATAAAATTCATGTAAAAAATCAACAAAAATAGATATTTATGAGTGAATTTCAGGCTGTAATGATACTTGAGCCGTACTCTACACACTTATGAAGCCATTAATTACACTTAATTAATAAAGTCATCAGTTAATGAAACTGCAGTCACTGTAATGGATGGATGACACTTCCTTTTCCCCAAAAAACATTCCTGTTGGAAAACTTCTGCATCTGTGAAGCTTTAAATACCCTGTGTGTGTGTGTGTGTGTGTGTGTGTGTGTGTGTGTGTGTGTGTGTGTGTGTGTGTGTGTGTGTGTGTGTGTGTGTGTGTGTGTGTGTGTGTGTGTGTGTGTGTGTGTGTGTGTGTGTGTGTGTGTGTGTGTGTGTGTTCCCGCCGCCACATAAACATCCACTGTATCATTACTCCGTGCGGCGGCCGCTGCGGCTCCGTCAGCCCTCTCAGACTCCTCGCTGTTCACAGATCAGCTGATTCCCGAAACCCAAAATAACGCCTGGACTCCATTTTTAGTCGCGTCCACTTCCTGTAAATCCTCAGGAAGACACGTTTGTTCCCACACTGACAAAAACACTCGACCACAGTTTGTTTTCACAAGAGGGAAAGTTTCTCTTTTATTTTTCATGATCAATAATCAAACAACTTTATTTACTATCTACTTTATTGTTCAATCTAGAAGTCTTTTAACAGTTGTTATAATAAAAAAGCTTTAGCCTCAGTTAGCGTGAATAAAAGTTTTGGTTCAGTCTGATATTTGTCTGTTTACTGTGAATCCCACTGAACCCGCCGATCAGCTCGACCTTGACTATGAAGCTCAGCCAAAATCAGGTTTGAGGTTAAAGGTCAAATCCAGAGCTTCTCAAGCCTGACATGAAACCGTATAAACCGTGGGAAAGAATCGCGTCCTGAGAATCCGATTGGAGAGCCAGAGACTGAAGAGTTGACCGGAGTTTAACCTTAAAATGTTCCACTTTAAATCCTCCTCAGGGAGAATGCTCTCTGCAGACCCAAACTTCCTGCACTCAGCTCCGGATAATATAATAATAATAATAATAATAATAATAATAATAATAATAATAATAATAATAATAATAATGATAATAATAATAATAATCTGGCTGTTTAAAAAGATTTATGTCAATGAGAGACAATTGATCTCCTCCAGACATCTATTAAGACATTTATAGTCTGGGTTTTTCACAATAAAAGTATAATTTTCACATTAAAATCCTCAAAAACTACACACACACACACACACACACACACACACACACAGCTTCACTCCTCACAATCTCTGTGAATCATGTCTATCATTTTAATCCTCATAAACATTCACTTCCCTCTCATTTAGCTCTGATTGATTGATCGTCTCTCACCGAATCAATCAGTCGATCGCTGTCATTAATCGCGTGTTTAGCGGCGGTCACTCCGTCCCGCGCTGCCTCTGACAGCTGCTGTTATTTCCCCGGCAGGCGGTCGCTTTAAGAAGGAGATGGTGGTGGACGGTCAGAGTCACCTGCTGCTGATCCGAGATGAAGGAGGCCCCCCGGAGGCCCAGGTGAGTCCTGCACCTGCACAGACCCCCAAAAACCTGAGCTCGGGTTTCAACTTCACATCCAAACCACAGAGACTGCCTTTAGCTGCTAGCTTTAGCCTCAGTCTGTTACCTCGCTGGTCAGAGGTGTGATCTTTAAAGTGACTTTACAGTTTATGAGCCTTTTTGTGTGAACAAAGAACTTCTGTCTGAGATTTGGGGCTTCGTGACAACAGAGAAAGTGGGTCAGGTTTTTATTTCAGAACTGACCAAATGGAGGTTTTAATGTGAGCGAGTCTAGACAGAAGAACTCGACGATTCATGAATAATTCAACCGTTTCCTTTCTGCTCTTCACCCCTCTCTCTCTCTCTCTCTCTGTCTCTCTGTCTCTCTCTCTCTCTCTCTCTGTCAGCATCAGTGAAAGCATCTAATGTCCTTAAAGTCCATCTGACTTCCTGTCAGTGTGTTCTGTTGTCAGCGGTCCTCGCTGTGAATAAAGTTGTATTTTGAACTCTCTCTTTCTGCAGTTTGCCTTGTGGGTCGACGCCGTGATCTTCGTCTTCAGTCTGGAGGACGAGATCAGCTTCCAGACGGTTTATCACTACTTCAGCCGCCTCGCCAACTTCAGGAACACCGCCGACCTGCCGCTGGTCCTGGTTGGCACGCAAGGTCACACACACACACACACACACACACACACACACACACACACACACACACACACACACACACACACACACACACACACACACACACACCTCTGTGGTTTGCTGTGTGTTACAACATGAGGCGGCACAATGCAGCCTGCAGACCTGATAAAGCTATCCTGAGGCGTTGCTGCCACCCAGTGGAGTCTTTTTGCCGTTACACTTAGAGAGCTGGCACATAGAAACCTGGTTCTGGTCTCTCTGTATTACGATTACGATTTAAACAATATCTGAGCTCCTGCCTGCTGGTTTCGTGTCTAATTTGAAGACCTTTCAGTCCCGGTCGGATCTTCATCAGTTTGTTTAAATATGGATACCCCACCAGGATGATAAACATCTCCAAACTAGTGCTGATCAAATCTTTGTATCCTGGTATTTTTGTGAGATTCTGGCTGTTTGGTGGTATTTTATTTAATCAGATCGAGATCATCGATCAGAAGAGATTGAAATCTCTTCCCCAATGGAGACAGCCCACCAGTTACAGTCCAAATATAATATATAATATAATAAAAACACAATTCACAGGGCCTTTATAAAGGTTTATAGCAGCTTATTGTCCTGTCAGGACATAGAATATAGAGTTTAATGTTATTGTGTGAACACTGAAGGCTTGAAGCTGATTAAACACAATAAACTGACATAAAATCCTCTGTTAAAATAAATGTGGGAAACACAGTTCATCCTGCATTTAAACAGCAGAGGGCGCCAGAGTACCACCCACATTCCCCGCGTTCTCCCTTAAAAGATGAGCTCTTGTTCTCCCTTTTCCATTTGTCACCTTTTAAACCAGGACCCTGAACGCAGCATTTAGAACGTGTGCTGTCCAAAGAAAAGACTCTAAAAACACCAGAAATGGAAGATTTAGTCAAGGTCAAAGCCCAGAATGCATTGGGTTTTGCAGCCTTTTATCTGCACTGTTGAATAAGGTTGTTTTCTGTCATTTAATTTCCTTTTTTTGGGTTGTTTTCCCTCCCAGATGCCATCAGCTCCGCCAACCCGAGAGTGATCGACGACAGCCGAGCCAGGAAACTCTCCAACGACCTCAAACGCTGCACCTACTACGAGACCTGCGCCACCTACGGCCTCAACGTGGAGCGAGTCTTCCAGGACGGTAAGAGCTCTTATTGTGGTCAGGACAGCGGAGTCCACTCCCCTGGGAAGGTGACTTTCCTCCCCCCCACCCCCCGACAGCCCCGGCCAGAGCCATTCGGACACTCTTAATCACACGTCAATTAAGAATGAAATGGACCCACTCAGCTATTTAGCTCAAACCGAACAGCAATTAAGTTTTATCATAGCGAGGGCGAAGGGAGGCAAAGAGAGACGATTCCCCGACGGGATTAATAAAAGAATCAGACATTATAGGAGGAGGAGGAGGAGGAGGGTGTCCGGAGTCGTCAAGGTCCTGACTGACCCTGACACTCGGGTCTTTTAAGGCGGTCACAGTTTCCTGGATCAGAACTAATTCAACCTCATCGACTTCATTTCCAGTCCTCTCCAAAGACTTTAAACCCCGCCCATCAGGTCGAGCTTAGCGTAGCAGAGCGTCTTCAGCACAGCGGTCTGCGTGTCACTGCGAGTGAACCGGTCTTTTTTTATTGTATTTCTTTGTCTCCTGTATCCTGTGTGGCTGAAATCTCTGGTTTCACTCGCTGCAGCTTGTTAAGACTAAAACAAACGCTGCCTGTGTCGGATATGAAAGCTCCGAGTGAAGATCAGTGTGTTAATGAGAGTGCCACAGTCTCAGCACTTCAGAGAAGGTTAAAGGTTGAAGTCTGTATCTGGAGCACTGCACCTGATCCAGAAGTGTGAGAGGAGAAAAGTTTAGTAAACCCTGCGGCTGGTGTTTTACATTCTGAGAGCGCATTAATAAGAGGAGAGGCAGTTAATGAAGCGGCGGGCGCAGGGTTAACGGCTGTAATTAGAGAGAAATGGATGACAACGGAGTCGGCGGTTAATTAGCAGAGCGGCAGCGAGCCTGCCGGCCTCTGGCTTCGTCTGCATCCACCTGAAACCTCCGTCTGCGCTCACAGGTTGTTGTTTTCACTCACTCTTCGGCTTCAATGGCAGAAGTGCAGCTCGGAAGAGGAAGAGCCGTCACATGGGGCGTTTTATTTTTTAAGCTAAAAGTGGAAACCAGTTTAAACTGGTAGAAACCAACAGCAAAAAGGCTTTTAGGTCAGAGAAGTTCTCTGGGTCTGCAGTAGATGGATGTAGTAAAGGATATCTCTCACACACACAACACACACACACACACACATACACACACACACACACACACACACACAGTGCCTGTTACATTTGAGTCTGAACATGAAGAGAAATATGATCATATTTAAGGTTTTAGAGCTCTCAGGTGTCGTTGCTGTGTTTGTCCTGAAGGGGGCAGTGCAGGAACAGAGACCTCAGAGGTCTTCTGCGGTTCGTCCATCAGCTTCTGTCCAACGCCTCGAAATAAAGTTCTGATATACTCTGTGTGTGTGTGTGTGTGTGTGTGTGTGTGCACTCTTGGCCCAGGAGGAAGCTTTCCACACTAAACGCTGCCTTATTATCTTCTTAATTATTCCACCGTGTGTGTGTTTGTAAGAGTGAGTGTGTGTGTGTGTGTGTGTGTGTTTGTTTGTTTGTAATAGTGTGTGTGTGTTATTGTCTCTGACACTGTCTCTTTGTATTTTTCTCGTCATTATCTCAAATTAATCAGTTTTTTAATCATCCAGCAGAACGATGAGTTTAATGTTTTCTGTCGACGCCTGAAACACGACAGCAGCTCTGTGTGTGTGTGTGTTGTGTGTGTGTGTGTGTGTGTGTGTGTGTTTTTGTTTGTGCATTTTCATTTTTTTGTATTTATTTCATTATTTTAGACGTGTTTGTAAAAGAGTTTTGTTTGTTCCCAAAGTTGTTCTTCTGGTGTGTGTGTGTGTGTGTGTGTGTGTGTGTGTGTGTGTGTGTGTGAAAGCAGTTTCCTGTTCTGTATTTAATTTTTCTATTTCAGACGTTTGTATTTTTGGGAGTGTGTGTCTGTTACTGTAACTACAAGTGTTACAAACACACACAAACACACACACACACAAACTCTCTCTTTAATTACTTCTTAGCGTGACCTTAATTTGCAGCGAGGACTTCAGTAATGACGCCGCTCGGCTCTCGGCCTTCAGCCACTTAAAACACTCGCCTTCCTCTAATTGGTCAGAAGCATCATACACACACACACACACACACACACACACACACTGTGTTTCAGAAGTTTGTCATCGATAGAAACATCTGAACTCACCTGTATGGCCACTCTTTACACCTGGATTTATCAAAATAAAAGCTTACTAATTGGCACTGATACATTTATTTTGAAAGTACAGATAGTTACATTAATACACAATTAACAATATAAAAAAAAGAAAAGTTAATAATAATCTGAACTGCATAAATATGTGAATCTTGCTGCTGTTAAACACACAGTAATATTTACACATTTGTCATTTTAAGGTTTTAGACCAAATATCTTTTAAAAAAGTGACTTTTTTAAGACCAAAAACTAAATGAATTGAATTAAACGTGCAGTGCAGTGAAGCCTTTAAAGATTGTTTGTACCGTCCTGCACCTCCCTGGAGTCTGATTGATCATATTTATTTCGAATAGATTGTGTTTTCTGTTGTTTCAGAGTCTTCTCTTTCCTCTCGGACAGATTGGGACTCCGTATTAAACGCCGTTTGCAGAAGGCGGCGTGTGTGTTCGACGACGGTGAATAAAATCACAATTTATGAAGGGACTGGTGTGTTCGTATTGATCTCACACGCACGTCTCCGTGACCTTCGCTTCATCCGGAGTCTGCATCGATCGCGGCGGGTTGGGCCGGCGGGGAGGGGAGGGGAGGGGAGGGGGGGCTTTAATTACAGCGCTCATATTCAGCTTCATAATCAGCTGGATCGTCACTGCGACAAGCAGAGGCTCCTGGTGAAGAAACGCTGATTCGCACTAATTTGACATGATTGGTGTGTGTGTGTGTGTGTGTGTGTGTGTGTGTGGCAGTAAAGCCTCTATGGCGAGCGTCGTAAACCTAATAAAGGTTTTGATGAGTTACAGCGGCTGCACGGTGAGACAGAAATTGCACGAGTGACCACAACATTTAGCGTTAAAAATAATTGGCCCGCTCGTCGTCGTGACAACTCCTGTGTTCAGGAAGGGGGAGAGAGAAGGGGTGAGGAGGAGGAGGAGGAGGAGGAGTTCTCTCTCTCCCTGTGCAGAGACTGATGATGTGTGTTTGTCGAGGCTTTAAAACCAGACAGACCTGAAATTAATGATTCAATTCATCATTGATCAATGTGATGATCATTTTTTAGATTCATTAATTGATCGTTTTCTCTCAGTAGTATCAGAAATGGTCAAAATGTGTCACTCAAAAACCCCCAAAAATCAGTTCAAATATGAAGAAAAGTGAAACTATCTCCATAAGTTTAATTTCTTTCTTTCACTCTCGGACAGATTGTGACTAAAAGCTCTGATTCAAACGATATTTGTTGGTTTTTTACAGACCAAAAAATCCCTCAATGGCTTTAAAACTTCAGTTTTCAGAGGTTAATGTCAGTTAATTAATTGTTTGGTCTTTATAGTGTCAGAAAGTAGTCCAAAGTGTCTGAAAGTACAAATGTACAGTTTCAAACAGCATGTTTTATTTGTCAAAAATTAGTTGTTTTTAGTATTTTTTTTTAGCTTAAATAACCTGTTTATAGCTTGTTGAATATGAATATTGTTTAGTTTTCTTCTTCTTCTATGAGAGAAAACAGAGTTTTTGGGGATTTTGACAAAGAAACCTGAATAATATTAATATTTAACAAACAGATTATTTTAGCTTAAAAAATACTTTAAAACATGATCAGATGAGCTCTGGTGTAATGTAATTTAGTTTGAGAACTTGCTTGTCTCTATAACGTTATAATATTTATTAAAAATATTCCCAATGAAACAGTTAAAATGTCAGTTTATGGTGAAGATAATAATTCTGGAGGTTTTTACAAAAAACTACGAGAACCTGATGAGATAATCAGTGTTTTTATCTTTTATTGTTTCAGTCGTTTTCTTTGTTTAAGGCTGTGTGTGTGTGTGTGTGTGTGTGTGTGTGTGTGTGTGTGTGTGTGTGTGTGTGTGTGTGTGTGTGTGTGTGTGTGTGTGTGTGTGTGTGAACATGTAATTTGCTGTAATGGGAAGTGAAGCCTGGTCCAGTCGGGGGGAGGGGGGGTGACCTCTGTGTGAGGGATGGAGGGAGGGTGACAGCGCTGTGCTCCCTCGTCCATCAGCGCGCTAATTTAATTAGCCTAATTACACCGACATGAACCCCCAAACACACACACACACACACACACACACACTTCTTATTTTTTCTAATCCGTGTCAGAGTGCAGATGCGGGGCGCTTCGTTAGCGCACGCTAACGAGCTGAGATGACCACACGCGCTCTTACACAATCACTCATGAACGTCCAGACACTCACAACTGCATCCAGTGTGTAAATATTCCACACACACACACACACACACACACACACACACACGCATTCAGTCACTGTCACACACTAACAAACTAATCAGATCTCTCATATCTGTGCATCGGGTTAATGACGTTTAATCCATTTAGAGGATCTGTAATCAAACAAGCTAATAAGACTGATACATCAGGTAAATGATGCTGTTATTTATTGATTATTGACAATAAAAACTCATAGTTACTGTTTGTTGTGGTATTGCTGGCAGCCATCTTGACTGACCTGACCAATCGCAGGCCGTGTTAAACGTACAATATCTGATCTCTGCCACTCGGGGGTCTCTCTTAGCTGCTGCCAACGTTAGCTCAGCCTGTTCCTCTGATAGGTCACCAGGTTATGATCTCTAATGGACTGAGGCTAAAGCTAACAGGCCACAGTAAACTTGTGTAATCAGTTATTTTGTCAAACTATTTAAAGTGTCATGTGACTTCAGTCCATAAACACGTACTGATTGACACGGAGGAACGGTTTGTGGGTTTATTGGATCCGGTGACATTTGAACAATGAACCGATGAGCTTACTGTTCTATGTTTGCCCTTCCTTCTTGTACAGCTCCTTCGCTTTTTCATCCAGATGTTTGGATTTCACTTTGGAGCTTCAGGTATCAACCGTCTAACAGTGGAACATTTATGAAGTGACGTAACCAGAGTTTGTTTTCACTTTCATGGATTTGTAAGAAGACGCAGACCAAAGGAGGAGTGAGAACCTGGAGAATCATCAGCTGTAGGATTATATCTGCAGCCGTCTTCAGCTCCGCCGTCTTGACTTTAAAGTGAAACACTGCAGAGTCAGCCTCCCCCCCCTCCTTCCTCCCTTTATGTCTCACCCGCTGGTGCAGCCCCGTCATAAATCTGATCAAAGGGGAGACGTTTCCATTAGAAGAAATGGCAGCTTCTCAGAGCAGAACCGAGATTGATGGATAAAGTTAAATTGCATTAACCGTGCAGTTTAAATATTTAGCACAGCCTTATCATAACTGTTCTTAACACTTAAAGTAAAATACAGCCTGCCAGGTACGCTCGCTCCCATTGGTCCGTCCCCAGCTACCCGTCCACTTTCTGCCTGTAGCATCTCGTCTGTGGGGATGCTAACGTCCATCTCAGCAGCCTCCGTGAATAATTACATTAAAAAGGCCCCCATGCGGGTCAGAACCGGAGCTTGTGGAGATAAAATGTTGTGTCTGATGGTGTGTTTGAGGAGTCAGGAGAGAGTTAAGACTTTAGTGACTCCATTATCTCTGTTCCAATAAACACAGGCCCCCGTTTCATGCGCTCACAGATGAAGCCATTGTTTTAATTGGGCTCGTTAAAGCCCCCGGCTTCGTTAATGAGGAGCCAGTCGTAAACATTTAGCTCCAGGTGACGCGGGGCCGAGCCAAGGGCAGCCGCAAGAGAGGAGAAGAAACTCTCAGATGGTTTAAAAAAAAATGAAGTTATTTAGAACAAAATTAATTAATTTGTAATTAGTTCATTTGATTAAACCTCGACTACCTGGACATATTTTTGTGTTTTTCAACTGTTTTTGTGTTTGATATTATCACTTTAATACATGAATTTACACAAGGAACTAGAATTTCATAGATCTACTTATTAAACTTAGTTCCCTCTGTAGCTCTTTTTTAAAGAGTTGAGCTAAACGCTACGTCAGCATACTAATATGCTCACAATGACGAGCAGGTATGATGTTAACCAGTTGACCCTCAAACTGACCCATATGTTAGTGGTTCCCAACCTGGGGGTCGATAAAGATCCACAGGGGGGTCGCAAGGCCTTCTTAATTTTAAATAATATACACAGTAGGTCTATATTTCAGCATTTGGTTCATTTCTGTGAAGAAGTAAACTGTCTAATAGAACAATGACCAAGATTGATGGACAAGAAAACAGTGAATTTGTCAAAAAAGAAGCCAAAAAGTCTGTATGATTGTAAAAAGTCAGCAAAACACCAAGCAAAAAGAGCAAAAAGAGCCGGGTGAATTAAAGTAACTTTCTTACATGTGGCTGGAAATAAGTGTGTGTGTGTGGGTGTGGGTGTGTGGGTGTGTGTGGTCTTGAATTTTATTTTGAAATCTTTGTGTGTTACAGTCGCCCAGAAGATCGTGGCCACCAGGAAGAAGCAGCAGCTGTCCATCGGCCCGTGCAAGTCACTCCCAAACTCACCGAGTCACTCGTCTGTTTGCGCCACGCAAGTGTCAGCCGTCCACATCAGCCAGGTCAGAGGTCACAGTCATACATAAAATAAGATTCAATAGCGTTTTATAACATTTACTGACAGATTTTTAACTCACTCACACACTTTTTAAGCCCATATGTCAGTTTGACTAATGAGGATATTCAGATTTGCACAATATGTTCAGGTCATGTTTGACTCTGACATTCATAAATACATTTGACGGTGATTCATATGTTGTTTTTTGTCTTTATTGTTAATCGATATTTATTATTTGATCACAGTTCAGTCTTAATGTAATCATTCAAACAGAATTTAACTGTAATAATAATTCCGATTTCTGTAAAAACTGCAAAACCTGTAGACTGACGTCACTGTAAAGTTTCTGTTATAGACCTAAATTTTTGTTACTTTAGTCAATTTTAATCACATTTTAGGTCAATCTTTAATTTAACTTACACTGGAGATGCAGTGAAGAGTCCATTTAGTGGCTGCTCTGCAGATTTCGGTCTCTAGTTGTCTCATCCAACGTAGACAGAAAATGAAAACATGAACTACAAGTAGAACGTGAAGAAGAACATGTGATATGATCAAAAGCTCCAGAACAGCTACTTAATGGACCTCGTAGTGTGACTGTTTTTTTTTATTTTTTTTTTATGAACTTTTAAATTACATTTGAATGTAGTTTGATGAATGAATCTTAACTGAAGGTCTGTGTACAGCTCTTTCTGGAGCTCTCAGCTGAATCTCATGGCCTTCATCAAATGAGCAAACTCCATCTGTCTCTGGAAAAAGCTAAAAAAAATGGACCATAAGTTAACTTTTACTGAGTTTTTAATGTTTTCAGACGAACACAACCTCATCCACACTGTTACTGGAGCTTCAGGCCGTTGAGCTCTTCGATCCCCATCCCTCAATCCTCTATTGATTTCTCATTAAAAAGCCATCGCTCAGCGTGTCTGAGCAGCGCCGACGCGTCCCCCGAGAGCCGTGTTTATCTTCCCGCCGCCTCCACGAAAAACGGCCCTTGTGCATCTTTAGCTCTCACTGATTACTGTCGAGTGTTCAGGAGACGCCCATTACACTGATGAGACGCCATTAGGAAACCTTTTTTCTCTCCACTTCCTGATGCAGAGATTTATCCCAGAACGATGCAGATTTCTAAATCACTCATTCACAAATAAACAATCTTGTGATCGCAAATTTCAGGTTGCTGATGGAGGAAAATGAGCTGAGTGATAAAAATGTTCCCTTTTTTTCCCTTCCAGACGAGTAACGGCGGCGGCAGTTTAAGCGACTACTCGTCGTCGGTACCGTCCACGCCCAGCACCAGCCAGAAGGAGCTCCGCATCGACGTCCCGCAGACCACCAACACACCGACGCCCGTCCGGAAGCAATCCAAACGCCGCTCCAACCTCTTCACTGTGAGTCCTTTTCTTATTTGTGAAGGTGCTGACAATAAATCTTAATGGATTTCAGCTTGAAATTTAAAGGTGGAAGATACACAGACTGAGAATATCCTCGTTAAATAACAATTATTCCTCTAAGAATAATTACAATTTATTATAATCTGGTCTTATTTTTATTTTCTCATGTGACCAAACATTAAAAACTACTAAAATTAGACCCAAGTTACAATAAAACAGCTCTCAGTTATTAGATAAACTTCGCAGAGACAGTCAGTGTTATGATTATAGACTTTATCACAAACATGCATACATGTGTGGAATTTAATGAAAATCAGTGCAGATTTATTGATCCAATAAAACCACAATCAAACAAACTGTGTTGTGTGGAGGACGGACATCATACAGCAATTTGTAAAAACCTGTAGTGAATGTTTTATTAATGATCTTAACACTAATATACAGTTAAATAATGTTAAAGGTTGTAGTTAGCATTCCTGTTATAAATATACGGCTTTATAATAAGTAGGGATGGAATTGGTAAGATTTTATTGATGCCATATTCCATTCTGCTTATCGGTCTGATTCCCTTTTTGATTCCTGATCAGTTTTTTTTAGTTTCCAGCAGCCTAGACGCAGAAGTTTGACGTCATCAACTGTGAGAAAAGGAATTGATCATCTCCGCCATGTTTGTACGATGGCCCAAAGCGGACAAACCAACCACTGGCTCTAGATTGGGCCTTTTGGAGAGTTTTGCAGCCGCTGTAGTTTCTCCTCCACGCTTGGAAGGCTGAGCTGTATTCACATGGTTGAAACTTCTCCAATAGATGCCATTAAATCCCACACACTGCTCCTTTACGTCCACTATTATCCTGCTGTTTATTTTCTCTATTAAGCTGGAGATTGTTCAGGTTTTAAAAGTGTCAGAAAGTCTTCAAATGTCTTGTTTTGTCCGATCAAAACACCAAAATATTCAACTGACCAAACAAGATCCAGTTAGTTTGCTTATTGTTCACATGAACATATTTTCTGAGCATTTTAACAGAACAATCACCATCACATGTAGTTAAATATTGATTGAAAGCTCCAGAACATCCACTAAATGGACCTTTGAAACACACACAGGGCCGTGTCGAGAGGTAGGGACTGGAATCTGATTGGCCACCCTATTATTTTTTCCTCCAACCATGTCAGGCTATGTTGGAATAACTGGTCCAAAGTTAGGCTACATTTTGGTGATGGATAAACTGGTATGGCTGTTTTCAATAGGATCCCTTGACCTCTGACCTCTAGATATCTGAATGAAATTGGGTTGTGTGGGTCCCCACGAGACCCCCCCCTTTGCAGACACTTTATGCTGATACAGAAACCAGGGTGTTATTTTAGTGTATTCAAATATTTCTACTTACTGGGCTCCATAAACAGAGTTGGAATTACATGAATTGGGAATAACTGGAACACTCAGACACCCCGAGTCTGAAAATGTCTGCCCCTGCTTCCACACTGAGACCAAGTATGGCACGTTTGGTGGAACGGGTGAAGATTTTAATGAAAACATCAGCCCCGGTTCTTCGCAGTGTTGGTAATGACGGTTATTATCTGGTCCACAGTCGAGGAAGGCGAACGAGACGGACAAGGACAAGAAAGGCCTGGAGGCTCGAGCCGACAGCATCGGCAGCGGGCGAGCCATCCCCATCAAACAGGTGAGACTTCCTGTCTGTTCCTCCTCTCTCTCTCTCCCTCTCTGTGTTTGATGCCTCGGCCTTGATTAACAGTGAAATCACACACTTAACATCAATTAGAGTGAGGGGCTCTCCCGGGTCCTCCAACCAGATCATTAGGAGAAGGAGAGGGATTTCACTGTCACTCCCTCCGCTGCTCTTTTCTCTTCCTCTTTTCTGTCTCTCCCTCTGTTCGTCCACTTCATGTCCCCTCGTTTCCCTTTCAAAGCAACTTCTTTTCCTCTTGTTTTTGTCTTCCTGAGCGCCTTTTATCGGAGCGCTGGCAGCCGCGTTTTAAAGTAGTAAAAACAGAAGAAGGGGAAGCAGAGGATGAAGGGGAGGGCGAACATCTCTGCTCACACGCGCCTGCTGCGATGGCGAGGAGAGCACCTGAATTAATTTGAGCTCCTTCCGCGTTGGAGCAGCAGTGGGTGAGACGGGTGGGGGGTGAGAGGGGTGGCAGAAGGGTAGCGTGTGAGGTGGCAGTGGCGGGGTCCGCCGACAAGCAAATCAGGCAATTAGTGAGCACTAATCGCGGCCTCTCGTGTCGCCGTCATGGCCTCGTTTGTAATCTCCTAATGAACAAATCGCATCTCTGATTAGGGGCCGCCTCACCAGGAGAGAGCGGACGAGAGACATGGAGACAGACAGGGAGAGAGGGAGAGAGGGGGGAGGCATGTGTTGCTGCTGTTTGTGTTTGGGGAGTCGTCGTTTAAGGACGGACCCCGCCGTGCTGTCACAGCAGAGCCCGGAGTAATTGCAGCCGTCCGCATCGTGTGATGATTCCTCTCCAGCTCCCAGCGGCTTCAAACACGCCGCTTTCTTCTTCTTCTGTGGTGTTAATGCAGCGGTGGAGCCCAGCAGGCGTGGTTGAGCTTTTTGGTCCCGTTAATTTGTTCTGAGTGCAGGCTGGAGTGCAGAAACACTCGTCACTAGGTGGTTATTAAACAAACTTATTGGAAAAATGTCGGATTAAATTTTTAAGGATAAAAGAAGAGTCAAACTTTTTACAGACGTCGCTGTGAACTGAAAAACCTCTTTTACATTGAAAACGGATTTATTCTGCTTCTTTATTTGCTTTAGTCTGAATAAGGCTTTACGGTGCGTTCATGTGCTGTGGGAATACACATCACACTCTGCGCTCATTCCCAAATTTTCTTTTTAATTTATCCTTTGAACCAAATATAATTATTTTTTACTTACATACATTTTGTATTGCATTTAATTTGTTTTATACAACCCAAAATCACCATTTGCCTGAGGGGGCAATGTTCTTTAGACCCTCAATTTGGGCGAAGAAACCCCCCAAAAAAATGGAAAACATTTTTTATAATTCATGTTGGTCAACATTTAGCTTCAGAGCTTATTAAACATAAGTCCTTCTGACTTGAAAAGATGAGTTCACTCAACTTATTAAATTAAGTTTCCAAATAAACATGATCAACACATTGGCATTACTTCCCAGCATGCCCTGCTTTAGGGTTAAACCTTCTTTTTTGTAGTTTGAAGAATGCCTGTAATACATGTCAAGATCAGTCATAGCTGTTTTATTTTCGTAATAATGTGATGAAGGTAGTATTGAATTCAGCAGCCTTGTGTGTTGTCTTTGTAAAAACTCTGGTAAATTAGACACTTAAACGAGTTCAACTCACAGCTAATATAGTTTTAGTTTTTTTCTCTTAAGAAATAGGAGCATCTCATCAGCATGTAAGTTTACTTTAAAAATTCAAACTCAACTTCACTTTCTGTACGAGATATAAAACCACATTTATTAAACTACTCATGAAGTTTGAGCCTGAAATGATTAAATCCACATTAACAGACGATTATTGAACAGGAAGTTGGTTATCATGCAGTATTCATTATCCAAAACCTGCTCACCAGAAGCTTATTTATTAAGTCAACTGATGAAATCCATGCTAATAAAGCCGGACACATACTTAGCCCGGCATGGCACGACATGGCTGACACAATAAACCCTCCAGAGCAGAATAAAGCAGAAGAGGCAGCGCTGTGAGGCAGAGCACCGAGCTTTCTCCTGTTGTATTTTTTTGGAAGTGGACGTTAATTGATTTGATGGTTCCCTGTGGTCGCTCTCGCCTCGTCTCCCTGCCTGCTCCTCAGTGTCGACGGCGGGATCAACACACCGCAGACCTGCTCCCTAATTAGACTCTGAGTGTGTGCGAGTGTGTTTTACAAAGACTGTGTGTGTGTGTGTGTGTGTGTGTGTGTGTGTGTGTGTGTGTGTGTGTGTTAGAGAAGAGATTGCACTTCACATTCAAGGTTCAACTACCTTTTCCCCATTAACGCTCCATTTGCACTCCATTTTACTTTCTGTGTGTCCTCCCATTAGCGCCGTGTTCACACTTGTTTTTAATGAGACGGTGGTCTGACTCTCCGTCGCTTTTCTGTTTCCCTAATATGAACTCAACACATATTTGTAACCTAGAATAACCCACCAACCACAGGCTTAATCAGTCAGTTCTGACTTCTCTTTGTCCACTCATTATACATGGCTTCTTTGGCTTCATTGTGAGAGAAATTAGCTAAGTAACATATAGGTTTCTTGTGTGAGGAATCAAATGGTACAGTAGTACAGCAGCATACACTATATCTTCATAATCCAATATACATCTTATGGTTGGTTTTATAATGTTTATTGGTTTGGAAAGGAGAAACAAGCTCTGTCTCGATATAAGAATCCATCCAACCAAATTCCTAATAGAAGATCTTCATTTAGAGCATGTAAAGGTTTGGACACTGCAGCCATTTAGTTTTAAGTTAAAGTTGGCATACAAGATGGTGTCATCAGCATAAAAACGACTATGACAGAGCTGAGTTAGAAAATAAATATTGTTTATGTGAGGTGGTAAATTAGAAAACTAATTACATTTAGTCCAGATTTATCCACATTTATGTATCAGCGGCTTTTCTTCATTGAGTTTGACACTTTAATCATACTGACAAATGTCTTTATTTCTATTTATTTGTCTAAAATGGCTACAGCATATTCTAATTATCTGATATAACAAAAAGGCGTTCAGCTCACAAAACCAGTTAGCAGAATTATTAGTTGTAGTCCTGTAATAAGCCTGCTTCATCAGCTGCCGCCATCTTAACCAACAACAGTAATTAAATGAAAATGAATTAGTTAAAATGTGCTCAGATTTGACTCAGAAATGGTTTGGATGTGTGTTGGAGAAAGTCTTAAATCATGAAATGTAAATTGATGATTGGTTTAGTCAGGAGTCTGCGTCATTAACTGACCGCTGATTACCGCCGTACCTTGGAGGAAGGAGGCGGCCAGGCTGGTGACCTAACGGAGTCCGACATCTGCCAGAGAGATTAGCAGCCTCACATTCCTCGCCACAACACAAACACACACACACACACCCCGCCGTACAGTCAGGTTCCTCTCAAGGTTCACATTGTGATTTTAATATACAGCTGTGAGCTTCCAGGTGCTTTCAAAACTTCAATATGAGAATATGAGTTTGAATAATACAACGTCTGACTGAATTATGAAGTTAAACCAAATTCAGTCTCATTATCCTGCTTTGTTTTGAAGTCCAGTGATTATTTCTGGTTTTAAATTCGCCTTTAATTTTCATCTGCGAGGGCGGGACAGTGACGTCTTCTTTACCCAACTGCCACTTCGTCTTCCTCTACAGCTCATTCTTATCTTGTACCTGTGTGAGTGTGTGTTTGAGTGCTTAAACCACTCATTCGCCCTGATCTCATTAGAGCAACTCTCGACCACTCGAGGTGACGGCAGTTCAGTTCGCCTTTTGTGAAAGGAGAACGCCTTCGTTAAGAGAGTCCAGCGCTCATTAAACCCCCACCCCCCCCCCACACACACACACACACACACACTGAGACCAGGACATGGTGGACTCTGCTGGCTGTAATGAGAACGGGGCGGACTTCCACTCTGAGGCAATTATCCGGTACAAATCCACACAAACACACACATTGTGTACAGAAAAGCATTCACACACATAAACATTTATATTTCCACTCACATTAAAACAGGCCCAGAGTAAGTGTGTTACAGTGTGTTACTGTGTGTTAGTGTGTGTGTGTGTGTGTGTGTGTGTGTGTGTGTGTGGGCGGGATGAAGGTTAGATGTGTCATGTAGCCCAGCGAGCGCTCAGAAACAGTTTCTCATTCAGTTTGTCTGCAGGTAAATCTGAAAAATATCTCTCATTTACTTTCACATCAGACACAAGAAAGAAAATTCAGGAGGAAAAGCCACAACGATGTAATGTTAGCGTTTTGGCTTAAAAATCAATTGAATGTTTTAAATTAGATAAACACATTAAAGTGTTGGTTAACAGTGCTGCGTGATGTGGGTAAAGAAGTCTTATTGAGATTATTGTGACAGATTATTTGTACATGATTAAACCTCTTAATCAAATTTAAACATACAGTATGTAAGTTCTGTCACTCAAGATCAAAACACTAAGAAAAGATGTAGTTCGCTGAGGTTGTGAAGTAGCTAATTAAATCTATCTTACAGGATGTTTTATTCACATTATGTTTCGACATGTTTGTTGACTTTCTTCATCACTCTCGGACAAAGTTATCACCTAGAGTCATGTAAGGAAAAGCGTTTCCTCGATGAAACTGCGAATGAAACTGCAGATAGTTCGAAAACTCAAGAATGGTGCATCAAGTTCAGTCTTATAGACTGTAAAAATGACTTTCCGCCACAGACAAATTCTTACAGTGGGAACAACTGCAGCAGTTAAATTTAGTAAAATATAATTTTAAAGACCCAAGAATGAACATGTTTCTTATAATTAACTCTCTGAGGGACAACATTTATCTCTGCGACCTGCTCGACGATCTAAAAAAGGAAACACATGTGGAGTCAAAGCTGCAACCTCCTGCTAAGACGCTCCGCTGCCACATGAAACCACAGAGGAAACACTGGCTGCACCGGCAGCTGATGGCTCCTTTTTTTCTTCTTCTTCTCTCTT